CGGGCTCCGGGCTCTGCAGCCCGGACCGCACCGCAGCCCCGTGTCCCAGCTGAAACTCCATCACTTGAAACTCCAGCGGTGGGAGGTGCTGGGGGATGCAAGGCAGGGGTGGAGGGAGCTGGGCACACTGCACCCCATCTGCCCCAAATTTGGGGAGTCTGTCTGTGGGTTAGGGGTATTCCCTGGCACAAGTGGGGAGCACAGCATGCGGGGGGTTATAGCGGCCTGAGCAGCGTGGTCACTAAATATCTCATGTCGGGGCGTCCCTGGGGACGAGCGCTGACGGGTGGGTGCTTTGGTCCCCTCAGGGGTGCACTGCGGGAACCACATCACCTCCCACGGGCTGGCGCTGAACTGCTGCACCGACCTCACCTGGTTCGACCACATCATCCCCTGCGGGCTGGAGGGGAAAGGCGTCACCTCGCTCAGCCGCGAGCTGGGGCGGCACGTCACCGTCGACCACGTCCTCCAGCCCTTCCTCGACTCCTTCCAGGAGGTGTTCGACTGCACCTTGGTCTTTTCGGAAGACCCCGGGGACTAGGAGAGCCGTGGCACCTCGGCTGGGTGTTTCGGCAAACCCTCGGCGCGGCCGACGAACGGCGTGGCAGCCGCCTGGGGCTTTGTTGCGAGACAAGAGCTCTCGTGCCTTTGCCTATGGACCGTGCGTGAACGGTGGCAGAGAGGTTTGCGCTGTTGCTTAAACGTCCAAACCTCCATCGGGGCTGCTCTTCCCCGTCCCGCGGGTCTCCATCTCACGGCCGAGACCTCCAAGGGTACCACGTCCCCGTCACTCGCTGGGGAAACGCCCAAACAGGTGCTTTTGTGTGTTTTTTCTGCCTCTCTTCCCCCCCAAAAATCCAAAATTTGGGTGAACCACTCATGCGCCCTTTGGACAAGAGGAAGTGGGAAGTGGGTTGGTCGAGTGTCCGTCCCTCACTGCCACGTAAAAAGAGGCCGATTTTCTATAAAGAGAGTTGCTGGGAACTTTGGCTGCCGATCCTTTGTTTGTTTATTTACCCCAAGACTTTATGAATAACGACCTTTTTCTCACTCTGCGCCCAGAGAAATCTTCGCATGGCAAAGATCCTCGCCATGGTGTTGGGGCGGGTGGAAAAATCGCTGATAAGAGGCTGTAAACGGTGGTTAAAAGTCCACCGGAGCGATGCCGACGCGGTGGGAAAGCGGGAGGAGGAGGGGAAGGGGTCGGGGTGCCCGAGGAGAAGAGCCACAGCCATCCCGGATCCCGTGGGACCGCGCAGCGTGGGATCGAGCGTCCCAGCTGGGCGATGGGGACCTGTTCCCGCTGGGTCCCTGGTGCTGGAGGAGATGTCGCCGTGGTCCGTGCAGGCGGTGTCGGCTCCTCCGAAATCGCTGCCCCAGCTGCAGCATCCACATGGGCTCGCAGCAGCCGTCCCGGGCGAAGGGACGCGGCCACCCTGGGGTCCCGATGGCACCGGGGTCCATGCCCATCAATGCAAACCTATAGGTAGACACATATAAACTGATTTTAATCAACAGGTTTCTTAAGGGGTAAGAAGCCAACTTGAGACTGAGCTCCCCGGAGCTGCCTGTTGCCCCTCGGGGATGCTCACGGCTCTCCTGGTGCGTGGGCAGGAGGGGCAGTGCCCGGTCTGGGCTCTCCGAAACCTTCCCCCGTTTGCGCGTGGCACGGCCACGGCCGCTCCCGAGG